TCGTTCAGCTTAAAGAAAAGCTGCTGCGTCCAAGTGCATCCGCATTAACTGCCACCACATTGCAGGACAAAGACCAATAGAATTAATTGTCCATTCTGATGAATATCATGGCCAAACCCAAAAATGTAGTACGGGTTACTCATCACTCTAAATGCACATCATGGCGGATCGCGAACTATTAGAGTGACTTTAGAAGTTGCCATTGATATACAGAACGTTCCACTCTCTGCAAGTGCGCTACAACACAGATCCAATGGGGTGTGCACATAGCCTGTCCCACGGGGCGTGCGGGATTAAAAAAGAAAGAAAGGATGAACTCTCTCCGCGGAAGAATTCCAAAACTGTTGAGGTGGGGTAATTAGATTCGCCATTAGTGATCGTAATAACTTCCGGCACCAATATGTTGCACCGAGACAAAAGCAGAAAACACAATTGCGTAATAAGACGGTTATTTATGTAATCTGCACGTGCAACTGTACATCAAAAAGAGAGTGTAAGGCATTCGAAGTCAAATGGACACTGAATCCAGTCACCAATCAATGGCTACGGCAGACGACCGATAGCCGTAGTAAACACATACGAACGCACCCACTAGGAAGGTGCTTGGAAAAGCGTATCAAGTTCAAGCAACTGGTTACGAATGCTTCAGAGACAAAATATTGCAATGCGCCTAAAACAGTTTCTCTTAAGAAGCAGAACTCGAAGAAGGATGTCAGTACGCAATGAAGCATGACGAGAGCACAGATCATCTCCAACGCCAGATACTTGGGACAACTACGTAGCCCAATGTAATCACTGAACTCAACTACTCAGAGAAGACAAAGCCGCGTATCAGCAGAATATCGCAAAACTTTCAACACTAACCACGAGCTGCTGCACAAGCACATCAATGATCTTCGTAAGATGAGGTAGGGAACTTCTCCACTCCGGACGTAATATATACTCCCACATTTCAGAGGGTTTTACCATCAGGAGACCTATCAGCTTTTGTTGCCCGCCACCGGACTGAACTGCATTTCTTTCGCCGCTGAAGCTGCAATGCAGGTGACAACTCCGCACAACCATAGCTCCCCGGGTGTAGACATTTTCCCAAAGAAACTTAGAACAACAGCAAGTCAGAAGCTTTGGATGAGTTGCTTAGACCAGAACTAGGTCATTACCATTTAGAATTCTGGAATAACAACACCGACTCACAAATGCGGAAGCATTACCGAGCTTACAAAGTACCACCTAGTATCTTCTCTCTCTGTACTGTTCAAGGTCATAGAATCCATCATTACCGATGCACTGCGGTGCCATTTGGAAAACTGCAACAGTATTGACCCCGAGCAGCACGGTCTCCGTCGACTACGCTCACACAATGAATTTACTAAACGCACGGAGTTGTTAGTCAGCTAACGATGGAGACGTTGATGTGATTTACCTCGAATTTTCGAAAGCCATTCGATCGGCTATATGATTGGATTCCATTTCCAATCTCGTCTTAAGGTATCAGTGACTCCCTCTTGTGCTAGATCGCTGACTCTTCTTCAAAGACAATTAGTGGTCAGAGTTCCCAGCTTCTTATTTTGTTCCATAGAAGTCGAGCGTTGTGTGCCTTAACGCTCCGTTCTAGGGTCATGATTGTTTGATATTTATTAATGACCTTGCATAGGCAATCACTTCAGATTTCCCAGTGTTGACCGATGACATCAAGGTTTTGTGCAGGATTCGGGGGTATGTTCGCCCCATGACGAACGCGCAAGTTAAGACTGGCACCCATGGCTTGAACACGACCTGAATGCACAGGACCGGCCTCATCGTCGGGCCTCCAAGTACATCACTAGAATGTGTAATCACCCATACGAGCAAAGGTTTGAAACGTTCGACAGTATTTATCGAACGGTACCGGCGATTACGAGGCTACCTGATAATGGCTTACATGATTATGCAAGACCCACATCATGTGCGCCGCCTCTTATTGCGACTCAGCAGGCCACTCCTTGAAATTATCAGAACAATATGCCCGTTTGGAGTATCGCAAAATTTTTTCTCTATTCGCGTATGACAACCGGGGAAAGCTCTTTCCTAATCGATTGTTTCTGCACCGTCAGTAGCCATTTTTAAAAGACGATTGGATGACGCACTCATCCACTTACCGTTTGTTAGTTAGCATTATCTCTCCGTCGTACTCCTAAGAAATACCTTGGAGTTGTTATTTGCACCTAATGGTGCTGTGAAACTAGCGGAGTGCAGAACTACTGCATTACAAACGAACAGGTCATTCCCTTTGACAGTAAAAGTACCAGATGACCTATCTTAAGGTTTTTCGATAGACACAACAAACCACCCAACGAGGCTTGTAAGGCAGGGTTTTTTAATCCGTATAATCACTGTCCATTGCGTTAGACCACCTTTCTATTACTTTATCACGTGGTGTTAGTTCGCTAACCAGTGGATATAAGGAACTACAACGATTAGGATTTAAACCTTAGTATTGCCCTAACCATCTGATCATCTTTATTTTCATAAAACACTTTGTACCCATGAGTAAGGATGGAGAGAGGAAGACTCTGACCAACTATTTCGCCACGACTGTATTGCTGGTTTGCAGCGCGCGCGAGTTCGGTAGGTGAAAGATAGTACGCGTATTACCCGGTTTGTTGAGTTCCGACGCTAAATCATAAACACGTGCAAAAACTACAAAAAAGCGCTTCCATAACTTGCGGAATCATCGTCGCGATCGATGAGCTGAGCTTCCACACTGTGTTGTCAAGAGTATGCAAATACTATCATTCACTTCAGCAACGTACCACCAATACGTGCAGACTCAGGACCGTTTACACGAGTGACACGTAATAACCCAGTGCGCCATACAAATTTGCATTGTTAAAGATGCTATATTAGTTTACACGAAGTAGCTATTGTGAAATTCCGAGGGTACCCTCTAGGGTATAGAAAACTTAGTGAGTTGGCTTGAAACGCTAAGGTGGTCGACAAATAACTGCAATACACACGGACTGCGCTATGAATAGATGCAGCAATAGTAAAAGGTAAGAAGTTGCGATTAGCCAGCTTAATGGACATAGAGAAGATAAATCAGAGAAATGTGGTGTTTGGATTGCGACTTTAGTTTAAATTTCTGGCATGCACACTTCACTACCGCTGAATAAGAAATAAGACTTTCACTATCTTTCTTGCATATCTTCAAACAATTGCACCGATTATTGAAAAGCGATGACTGGTCTCGAAAAATTTCTTTCAGCCGATCTACGGTGTCATCAAACCTGAAAGCATGGGCGCAGTTCAGCAAAAATGTAGTTGACATATCTATCATGCTCGCCCGTTGTCCGACTCCGCAACAGCAGAGAAAGTCTGGATGCATCATCGAGACTTGACAGCTATGTCCTGAATGCATCTTCAAAGCGCCTGAACCAAGCATCGAATAATGGTCCAGAATCAGGATCAAAAATGAACCCACTAACGATGCTGATCACTGCGTCCGTTGAAGACTCCCAAGTATTCCGGAGAGGTGTGGACTGAAGAGATAACGTTCGAGTGAGAATCTCAATCATTCGCAGCTTTGCGGCTTCAAATTACTGCTGTTGTTGTAACAAATTAGCTTTCAGGTCTTCTGATGAGATTGACATCTTGATTTAGTTCACCTCTGTCGCCAAAATCTCTGTGGTTTCCGTTGATTTTACGGACAACCTGCTGTTACTGGGCTAGCTGACCGGCCGACTTTAAGGAGTAGAAGACAAAGGCCTCATGTGGAAACTGTATTGCACACCCGGCAAGCAGAATAATCAAATCTAATTGGGGGATGGAATCAACAGTTAATAGAGGGATAGCACAGCGCTCACTGGTGGGCATCAAGATGGACCATCCTCATTGGAAGCGTTCAAAGTAAAGCGTCATCATTAGGCTTTAGCGTGCGTCATGGCCAAAGGTGCCGGCCTGCTGCAAAGGTGTGCCTTCTCCGTTAACAGTTTTCTCAAATGCCTTGAGAGGATGAGTCTCTTCTGGCTGTGTCACCTAAGTGATGTAGCAAAAGCAAATTGACCAGCAATTTGTGAAATTAAACAAGATACGGTCGCACATTCGTTTCCACTGCTCCACCGTATTTAAGAAATAAAAACAAGCAATTTTATTCTCATCCCTACCTCATGCCATATTCACAGGTGTAGCCGGATGGCAGTTGTGCAAATTGAGTAATGATTGCCTGATGAAACGGAAATGAGTTGCACCTAATCATTCGTATCACATATATTTATTTATACATAACGAATGAACCACATCAAGCGTCATCGGTCGGTAGGTGGAGAATGAAATATACGGAGCAAACTTTCGTCGAACTTACGTAAAAAGAAATACCCGTTTGTCTTTGGCGTCACGAATAGAAGTATTCCACTAGATCTCCGGACAATGACTTCACAAGAACTATAGCTCATGACAAAAATGAAGTTCGTACGAAACCGGCGAGTACACGCGACTGAGGAGTCCAAAAAGTAGAAATGGCTGTCTAGCGCTTTCCTGGATGGGTGGTGGCTGTCTAGTTGAGACGAATCGTCTCAAAAACAAGAAATCACCCGCACTATTCTTCAATAATCAGGAACTACCAAAGCAACTTACACGACATCTCGGTAGGTGGCAGCTTGCAAAGGTAGTCGTGGCTCTGGGGGCCAGCTCTGTCCTGTACACGTACAGAACATGCATGAAAATCGAGGATGAGCCGCGCTATATTGTGGTTAGATATCAGTTATGGCAGTCCGATGCCGTCAACCATGGCTCAGCGGCATCAGTCACTGACTCGTAAGAGGAAGATAATGGGTTCGAATAGGAGAGGATTCGCAGGGTGCACGCGACTGACTAGTCTAAATATGAGGAAACGACCACCTAGCGCTTTCCTGGATGTGTGGTAGTTGACTAGCTGAGAGGAATCTTCTCTGAAGTTCGTGTGAGTCAGCACGCGAGCTTCCAACGCAGCCAAAAGTTGAGGGACCAAAAAGGAAATGACTGAATGGGAGTAGTAAAAGCACTGTATATCTGAGGAAAATTAATGGAGGGAAATGTGGACGCAATGCATCCACAAAAGTGAACATGGCTTTAACCCCGACGCCTGGGGGTGCGTCCAACGCCTCTTCGAATGGAACCACGGGACCTGCCGACACGAGCACCGCGAGAAGAATTGGGAAGATGTCGGGAATCCGGGCGGGTCTGTACAAGTTCGAAAAGTTTGCAGAGCGTATCAGAGCAAAACGCACATTCGGTGTAAGTAATTTTCTTCATTCCATCGCCGTCCCCAGAAGCCGGAGTCAATTTTGACTAGAAGCAAGGAAAAAGCGAAGCAATACCATCTAAACAACTACTTCTAAGTAGGGTCAGATAGAATGTAATAAAAACAAAAGATGAAATGTATTCCCAGGAGATTGCTTTGTTTGAAACAGTTCAATGAACTGCAAGAAAACTGAGCACAAAGGAAAAAAATCACAATACTCACATAAAGCACCATCCAGTTAACCTACTATAGAGGATATATCGATTCAAGCATACTTCTGATCCACACTCGTGCGGCAATACGAAGCCATGCGAATAAAAACAAGGATGAGTATGAGATTGGCGCGAACTCCAATCCGTTTCATGGATGCATATCCATAACAAGTCAAGTCAAGGTTTATATACACCCATGTGGGAATATTTTCAACAATTTACATGAACACTGCGAACAGACTACAAGATAAAATCGGTAGAAAAATGATGTGAATTGACACGAACAAGAAAGAGTGCATTTTTAAGCAAGCACACGTTCTCGCAACTGCTGTATCATCACCCTTTGTTCGGTCAACAAGCGACACAGATAAGGAAAATGGAGCTGCGAAAAGTAGAGGTACAGGAAACAAAACTCTACATTTCGACCGAGTGGAAGTAATGGATTCCGAACTAGATAAAACGGCGTGTAGGAGGTGAGAGGGGTAATTTAGAATCGTGGATGAGAAGTGATACGACAAAATGATTGCTGACCACAAAATCAATGAGGGTTTCCCTGCTTAACCCAGAGCATCTGGAAATAAATTTAAGTGATCTTGCAACTAGAGTATAATACTTTTGAAGTAGTCCGAGGAAAATAACAGCCAATGGGGGAGATGCCATTACAAACCTTAGAATTAGAGCACGCGGTACGGAGAGAATCTTGATCCTAAGAGAGTAAAAGGATAGTCTACCGATTTTTTGGAAATTTTCAAGAATATGCGTCGATCAGGATAAATTATAGGACAATAAAACACCGAGGTACTTTACGGAATATGAACGAGAGATGCTTTGGTCATTCACAAACAAAAGGGACAGACGTTTAAAGAAAGCGCAGTCTGTCGAGACAAAGAAAAGAGCATTAGATATCACAACACTTAAAAATGTTAAGGGAAATGGAACGTGAACTTGATAAAGTCAAGACTCCGTTTACTCTTTGTTGGCGTTTTGAAGATTCCTCAATTACTGGGGTTGTACATCTTAGAACTACCTCGTCAGCGTATTTACACTTGATGAAACTGGTTGGTATAGGCAGAGACTCAACATAGAGGAAAAACAGAAAAGGGATAGAAAAGATCTTTGTAAAACCTCACAATTTGTTGGGGTTGAGGAAGATCTTCTGCCACATAACTGCGTGGAGTGTGTGCAATTGGTAAAATAGTCAAGTATCACATTACATTCGTGTGGGGGAACGCCGTTTTCGTACAAGAGGTTGAGTAGTAGCGAGCATTCAAGGCTCTCAAAGGCATTAGTATGGTCTGGGAACAGTCTTGCATATTTTATCCAAAGCAGATGCAAAGGAATGCACAATATACGAAACAGCATCCCATCCGTGTTACGGTTGCTTGTAAAGATTCGGGGAAGCAGTAGTTTTCAAGGACCTTCAGCATCACGGAGGTACATGCTATTCGCCGATACTTCAGTGATCCCTTCTTAAGTTCGGGTGTTAATCTGGCTACTTTACAGATGTCGGGGATTGTGTCAGTCGTTAAACATCGATTGAAAATCTTTGTCAGAGGTGATTGTAATGCATTAGCACCCTCATTCAAAGCGATTAGAAACAACGAAGCGGGGTCACTAGCCTTGTTTGGCTTCAGTCTGGTAAGTTCCTTGTAAACACTGATATGATCAAATAAGGTGGGAGGGTCATTAATGGGGAAATAAGGTAGGGAGAAAGTGTTTGCTGATGAGGAGCTAAAATCTGCGTTGAGCTTGCTCACATCCATAGTACTTAGTGGACAACTAGAATTTTTTCCAGTGGATTGCTTCAAGGGCCTCCATAAGTCACGCAACTGCGGTTGCCTAAAACGGCTTCAATGTATAGACTACTTAACCTTTACAGCTCGGCTTTTATATCCGTATATAGAGATTTGACACGGGCTGTTAGTTTGCATTTGTAGGCCCGTCCTTTTTCTACGCAGTTGCTTGAGTAGTGGGGATGAAAAGCTACCAATCCGAGGATAGATGGTCTCAATGGGGCAATACAGATTGTAACAGAAATTGTTATAGTCTGTGAGAAGTTCGCATTGAGCTGACAGATCCTCACTGGCGAATGACAAGTCGGTTGAAGTGAGCGATGATTTGAGCTTTGCAATGTTTTCTGTTGAACGGTTTCGCCGTCTAACAGTTCTGAATGGTCTTTTTGTCATCGCAAGGTAAATTTTTAGACAAATCTTCACGATGCAGTGGTCCGAATTGCCAAGCAGGGTGCGCCTTTGTGTGGAAAACAGGTTATTGTTTGTTAGTAAGAGCTAAATCGAAATGCGCGTCAAGTCTGGTGGGGAATTTTACCAAGATGGTTAGACGTAGCACTTTAATGAAGTCTGAGTCACATCTACTGAAGTCAACAGAACTAATGCAGAGGGGATATTCTACCTTCGGTTGTAATTCCGAGGCAAAGTGATGTGAAAACTTTCTTATCTCTGACAGTACTTCACTAGGTGTTAGATAAACTTAGGTTTACAGTCTAATTTATGGTAACTTATTGAATCCGTTGACTAGGTGGACAGCTGTGAAAGCGATGTGCACCAATCTTCACTAATGTAGGTGATCACAACTCCTCCGCGTTGGTGAAGATTTCCTGGGCGGTCGGATCTGATGTGTCGATAGTCATCGAGTTTCATAACTCCATCTAGATGTAGCCAACTTTCTGGTCACAGCACTATACCTGCGGTTGAAAATTCTGTTCATTGTAAAAGGCTGCCAAAATCATCAGTTGCCCCAAGAAGCGATCGGACATTACTGTACAGGATAAGTGGAATTTGTGCAGTGTTGGTAGGGCAGCGTCTGAGTAGTCCAGCTTGTCAACCAGCACGGTGCTTTTTCTTTACCACAAAACCTTTTAGACAACTTTTTTGAAAGCATTTCTGATTTTATGGCCATATTTGATTAGAGGTGAATTTCGTACATCTTCGCAGAGCGAAATCAAATGATCAACAGAGTAAGTCAACATTGCTGACCGTAAATTGGTTCACTTAAACAAATGGAAAATAAGTTGTAGGAACAGCTGGGGAAAATCTATGCAGTGAGCAGCGTAGAATAATATTCCAATCACAACAGCAACGGCCGAAGTTGAATTTGTGCACAATATAAACCGTGCGGTTTGGGATTTCATAGTATTCAAGTGTGGATGGGTGGATGGAGGCCACTGTCCAAGTAATTGAGTGAACAGACGAAGGTAAATTGTGAAATATTAGCACGGAAGTGAATGTGCAGCGCGGATACGAGAACGCGCAACAAAAGTATGAGGCTTAGTACCACATAGTTGCTTAGGAAATTTTCCCAGGTAAAGTCAGTGAAAACTCTGCAACAATTTCGCCGTAAGCGTCAAAGGAGTGTAATAATCGTAAAGCAACGTGTACATGGATACCGTTCATAAGCCTGTCGATTGAAACACACAAGCCAAATGACTTCACAAGGGAATTCATCACAGTTGGCTGAGACGCGTATAGTTAGAAAACAGATGTCCCGGTCACCCGTTACTGTGAGACCTGAAAAGCTGGAAAGCTATGGCTCTGATAATATGGATGCTTGATCACTGACGCACGGTGATGAAGCATCAGTAGCACGCCAGCACACCGCGTACCGACGCTTCACTGCCATATGACCAGCACCAATCGTGCGAGACAGCTTCCTTGCCCCGCGTCATAAGCAGCTAATACCCCGCAGATAACTCAGCACCAAACACACTTTAAAAAAGCAATCTGACTAAGAGACGACAGCTGACACTCCACTGGTGTCGACTGCGAGTCATGCCCGGTAACGTCTCAAGCCAAGCACAAGGTAAGTCAAGTGGACTTCAGCCTGGAAGACAAAATGGACCGACGGCACCTAGTTGGGACGTCGGTGATTTCATTTCCCACTGCCAAGTCAACTTTTGTCCACCTCGAGCCTTGCACCACCCTACACCTGGTAGACTAAACAAGGCCCTCCTCGGTAAACGGGGACTGGAGATATGTAGTACCCGCCCAAGCCAACGCAACATATTCAGTGCTTTCTGCTATTGAAATGAACTAGCTAGGGAATCGTTGCATAGTACTCGCCTACGCACATCATCGTTGCGGACACGCTGGTGCCATCCGACACCAGCAGTGCTTCGCAGACAACGATGATCAAAGACCTGAAAGCGTCTCAGATCGAAGGGGCCAAGCTGCGGTTCCATAGAGTAGGACGGCCCTCAATGTAGCCTTGTATACAGGACCTTTTAGAAGGAGGAAAACCCCTTTCTGACGCCAAATATGTCGCAGATTTAAAAAGACGGTTCTAGTTGTTATGCGCAGATCATTGCTAGTGCAGCAACCAAGGTATGCGAAGTGATCAACTACCACGAGTTCATCACCACCAAGAGTCAAGGAGTCGTCAAGTGGCTGGTGGTCCCGTAACAGCACTTTGCACCTTGAAGGTGTGAGGCACATGCCAAATAAAGAGATCACTCTAGAGAGGTTATTCAGGGTTGATTGTGCCTCCCCAACATCATTAGAAAGCAGGACATCGTCCGCATAATCAAGCTCAAGTAGACTTTCACCAGGCAGCAACGCAACGCGTGCATCGTGAGGAGCCGCAAGGGAACATCCCATGATGGAGTTCACGACGAAGTTGAACAAAAATAGGGGAAGTTAGGCAACCCTGACCAAGGTCACTTGTTATCGAAAAGCCATTAGGCAAATCACCGCAGACCTTGACGCAGCCTGTCGTTTCCGAGCACAGAACAAGCAAAATGTTCATTTATTTCATGGGAACACCTTTCCGCGCAAGTATTTCTAACAGAATGTATCGGTCGAATGCACTATGGAAGTCGAGGGACGCAGATATTGTCGGCTTCCTTTAGCACCTGCCGCAGAGTGAATATGTGGTCCATACCACCCCGTGTTGGGTAGAAACATATCTGTGCTTCCGTAATCCGTCGTTCTCGTTCCAAAGTGAGGCGACGAATGAGAATTGAAGCCAGTACTTTTGTCACCACTGGCGTTAGGCTAATATCCCTCCGGTTAGCACAGTCGGTGCGATTGCCCTCCTTGTATATCGCCACCATAATTGATTTACTCTAGTTAGATGGGATGATCTCTACATTCCAGACCCGCTCGAACAGGGAGGTCAGTGTTTTGCAGAGGACCTCACCACCATGATTAAATAATGCGGGTGTGAGCGAATCCGGGCCAGTAGCACGAAAACGATTAAGGACTGCGATCGCGTTTCGGACTTCAGCCTCTGACGGAATCACTAAACTATCTGGCCATGGCTCAGCCTGTAGCCCATAAGTAGGAAGAACTCCAGAAGTAGGGGGACAAATGAACTGCTGTCGAAAGTGCTTCGCCCAACGAGCCATATGGCGCTCCTTATTGTGAATCAGGGCACTCGCGCGATGTCTGATTGTTCCACTGACACCTGGCTTCCAAGAAACAGTGGTGCGGATCAGCTGGAAAACCATGCGATAATAGCCTACTGTTTGTGCTTCCTCCATTTCTTGAGCCCGACTGGTTACCAGGCTTCCTTGTCAGCACACAGACTGCGCTTTAATTCGCGCCTAATAGTCCGTCTAGCCACATTGTACTCAGAGCCAGCCGGGAGTTTTTTCATGGATTCCAACAGGTTCACTGACTTCTCCGTTATCCAGTGACTGATGCGGTGACGATCGATAGTGCCACAAGCGGAGGCTCCCGCATGTTGCATGGCAGCGGAGATCCCATTCCATTGAATGTCTGTCAGCACAAGAGAGCGAAAGTTCGGGACGCAGTGTATCCCAGTAGGCTTGCCTGACCGAGGGCTGAGATAAGTTCGCAGCTACCAACCGAGGGAGGCGCTTGGTAAGCCTCCTGGTAAAGATCATGGTAAAACGACAGCGTACCAAGGCATGATCAGAGTCAACGGAAGTACTACAGAATGAGCGACAATCCAGGATGGAACCACGCCACTTGTAAATTATGGCCCACAGCTGGTCAGCTACAGGAGGGCGCCCACTATGTCTAAAAGCGGTACTACTAATAAACACCAGGTGCTCCGCACACATCCGTAACAGATGCTCGCCGTTGCCTATCCGTTCGGAGTTAAGTCCATACTTACCACCCAGCAAAGCTTTTGAAGAGCCCAGATGAAGTACTTGCGCATTAGTATCCCTTGCAAGAACTAGGATAACCGAACCGGTAACACTGTACAGTAGCGTGTGCTGTTCGTGGTAGAAAGCGTCATTCGCAGCGGAAACCACAAACAAGCAGCGTGTAGTGTTACTCCGTGAAACAACCGTAATTGATGTCACAGGAATCCAATCAACGAAGGATGACTCAGCCTTGGAGCTGCGAACAATGAACACTCCGGTTTGACCAGTGGTTGCCGTATCAGCGTCTCCAGATGCGCGCAACCAATAGCGAGAGGACAAAGCGGGTTCAGTTACTTCACCAACCCCATGAGTGTCATTGATCCCAGTTTCGGATAGACAACACAGATTAGTACCCAGCGTGTCTAACGTGTGTGTGAGTGCAGCCTGTTGAGTTATTTTTCTCAGAGTGGGAATGTTGACCGCCGGCAGGGAAAAGGGACAATGTGGTTTTATAAGAAGCTGTTGGCGATTAATGTCCAGTGAGTGGTGCGGGAAGATAGCTGCAGATGGTATAACTCCAGTGACATTGTGGTTGCTGTCAAGTAAACAGGGAATTACAGCAGGAAGGCTAGTAATGGGGACTGGGAGGAGAGTAAGGGAAACAAGTGGAAAGGAAAGAAAGGAGGCGCCAGCAGTAGCATGGTTTCGCTCACCCACTCTGCTGTATGCAGTAGATAAGGCGACCCTTGAAAAACTGCGAGACGGCCGATGCAAGGTATGATTGAACCTTGAAGAAGTACAGTTGCACGTGGGCTGAGTTACTGACAGGGCGACCGGGCTTAAACAAGAGGACGACTAGGGTCGTCGACCAAAGCATTTGGCTCAAAAAGCCTATCCGCAAGGCACCGGATGTGGTAATGATTGGGTTTTACAGAAGTGGACGACATCCTAATTTAAACGCCCAACCAGGAGGACCAAGAGACTGAGTTTGTTTGACCTCTAACGATTGACCAACTTGGTAGGATTAGCTCTTAAGAGGTCCAAGGGCCCCGCCCAGTGTAGCTCAATCGGGTACGCAGACCATCACACCACGTTAATGTCCAGTCTCCTTGTGTGGAGAGGATCTAAGGGAAAGTCTCCTCAAGTTGAAGTAACGGGTAGGAGTATCGGGTCCATCGTACCACTTCCGATTTTTGATGACAACGAAGATGAAAATCATAGTTGCTCTACCCAGAACGAGACTTTTATCACCCGGTCGTGGGTAAGCTCGGAAGACGAGGATGGTGTGCCAGCCAAAGTTGGGAAAATCACGGCTGAATAGTTTGATGAAGAGGATCGAGCGATTTGGCAGGCACTTTGCATCACCACCGGTGGATAAATCGTCAAAGAGATAGCGGATGACTTTCCAAAGCCTAGAGAGGGGCAAAGTATCAATACAACAAGTAAGGTCCGTGTACAATATCGCAGCTCAATCAGTGCTGCAGAAGAGAATTAGACGTAAAGTGCTAAGAGTATTGGCACTCAGTCCGTATTCTACTATCGGTCAGTGGCCGTAAGGATTGAGGTCCCTGGTTCGAATGCGCATAGTTGAGGGCAATCTCATGGTATACCAAACCATTGCACGACTAGCCGTGGTCGCGGAGCAGCGATGTGTCGATACGGTGTGCCGATGTGTTGTTGATACCTTTTTCTGCCCTTTTTGTTTGTACCTGCAAACAGATGGCACAAAGTGAGTAACGCTGAAGTCCGATGCTGGTGGTGGGTAGCAGAGCAGGCACCACAATGGATTTGTCGCTATATTTCAGCCACACGCACACAGAAAATTTGCATCGGTGTTAAGTTTACACATGGCACCTCGGAAAGCGAAATGCACGAGGGATGATGATGAAGTGGATGGGGGCTTCAAAATATACATCATAAATAGAGAGGCCTTGTCTAACAGGAAGCGTTCGGGCAATCAGTTGTATCTTAGGACTGGATCTCACGATTGCTGGTACCTCCGTAGAAAATTTTGAAGTTTATTCCAGTTCTCTTCCAAACAAAGAATTTGCTTGATTTCTCAAACTGTTTATCTTATTAGCTCCGAACTGAATTATCAAGAAGACCTAAGCCAGACCAAAGAAATTAATGGGAATAAGGCGATTGAGTTGTAATCGAGTAATAGATTCAAACTAAACAATAGGCAAAAAATTGTTGAAGAACGTCACAACCAAAGGACAATTCAACCGGGGATGTGACTCACCGGGTCCACCTTGATGTGCAATATCATCGCAGAGCACTTGGAGCAAGCATCCTTCCCAACAGCCATGTGTTTGATGGCTTCCGATACCAGCAAGACCGCTGGACACCTGGGGATCAGTGAAGAAGAGCGCGTAAAGCAGTTCTTGAGTAATTGATGAACTCAAATTAACTAATAGTCTTTGGTGACTCAAGTGGTAGTCTTGTTAAAAAGCGCATAACTATTAGCGCAAAATGTTCGTTTAACAAAAGGCAACAGTGGTTAAGTAGGATACAATCCAGTTACAGAAATTTCCGCGAACCAGATTGTCAAAATTAGGGTCGCCAGAATAACAACGATTGACAAAGGGGAAAAATGGGATAGAAAGAAAAGTGCAACGTTAGTCTGGATGTAAAATTGGTAGCTAGAGGAAAGTAATTAAATGCAGGAATGTCACTGAGTCCGCGGCTGCATCATGTAGGACAATGTCTCAAACTGCTGACGTAGACCGTCATCCGTAAAGACGGCACTCGCCACCATGGCCAAATTTCCAGATCATATTCTTCAAACTTTCATGTTATCCTGCAGAATGGCCACTCAGTGGTTTCGGACAACTAGTTGTAGCGATATGTTGCATTTATATGCATTTATGCCAGGAAACCCTACTCGATTCCCTACCCCCACCAAAGAAAACGATATAACGGTGTCGATTTAGGGTGCTCCTTGTAAGTCAGATCAAGTAATCTCGAGATTAGATTAGATTAGCCACCAAGATTGCTCAGGCTGACTCGGATTGAGGACTTAATTATCATCTTAAAAGGCAACATAGGTATGGCTCACAAAATAAAACGGCTTTGGCAGATGGAATAGCGAAAGATATGGCGTAAAAGGGGAAGATAATGTCAACATTTCTAATATCCATCGACTCAACGAAACTGTCACGGAGGCGAAACAGCTGACTACGATGGTGCACACTAGCGGGGCGAGATCGGCCAGATCACGTGAGCGGCTGACAGACTGGTTGTCATGGTCAAACCGGAAGCTGACGAAATCAGACCGTCATCGCCGCACGGGTTGCTATGTCGCCGACGTGGTCCTACCTACAGTCAGACAGTGATGGCGGTTGCCAGAGTCGAATCTGTTCAGACAAGAGATGTGACTCACCTCAGTGATAGAGGCGAGGTAAGCGTATGTGGCCTATAAAAGTAGCCATGTTTTGTGCCTAATATACTTCGGTCTAGCAGGCTCAGCGTTTTGTTTTCCCCGACTGGTTAGTAGGGCAGAGAGGCAGAAGCAAAGGGCAGCGTTACAACAGTGGCGACGTGAGTTCAATCGAACCCAGAATGACAGTCAGCTTTGAGCAATTGCAGGCACTTTTGCAAGAGCAGCAGACGCAGTTCGAAAAGTCACGAGGCAGTTGATGGCAATGCTATCACAAAAATTAAACATTCATGTAGAATGGGAACTGGAAATGAAGCTGACATCGCAAGAAATTCTTTCAGAATGTCAGAAGTTGCTCAAATTGACTCCTGCTGCAAATGTGGTCGCAAATGCAGAAGCTATGGAGGAGCAAAACTTCTGCCACACTGCCACTTCAGAATCAGATGTGCCCATCAAACTTAAAGATGCGACGATAGAAATCAATGGCAGTCAGATTACGCAGAGGAATAGACGCCACGAAGCAATGCTCCAACCTGGTCCAGAATGCTGCAGAATCACCAGTGCTGCCTCGAATCTCAAGCCAGTCACTAAACCAGTATCCAGAGCAAAACGCGTTGTGCTCATAAGGAAAGAAAAGCATTGCAGTTGTCATACGGGGAGAAGTCGGACAGACAGGTTGTGTCATTGCAGAATTGGTACCAGGGGGTACGCGCGAGAGTTCCGAGGACCGAAGAGATGGTCAAGAGGAAGGGTGATCTGCAGTAATGGTGGAGTCAATTACGACCAAACGGTTAGAAACAAGAAATGGATCAGGCACGGAGATCAGCGGAGACCGAACCACGGAAAAACACAAGGGCCCGCAGACAACATATATCGAAGGGCGGCCAGAAGGAGAAGAAAACCACCAGGACAACTGATTGATGTCAAAACAAAGAAAGCTGAACTGACGCAAGTACGCATGGTGGGGAAGCAGTTTCAATTCGGAGGAGGAGGTGTCACGGAGGCGAAACAGCTGACTACGATGGTGCACACTAGCGGGGCGAGATCAGCCAGATCACGTGAGCGGCTGACAGACTGGTTGTCATGGTCAAACCGGAAGCTGACGAAATCAGACCGTCATCGCCGCACGGGTTGCTATGTCGCCGACGTGGTCCTACCTACAGTCAGACAGTGATGGCGGTTGCCAGAGTCGAATCTGTTCAGACAAGAGATGTGACTCACCTCAGTGATAGAGGCGAGGTAAGCGTATGTGGCCTATAAAAGTAGCCATGTTTTGTGCCTAATATACTTCGGTCTAGCAGGCTTCGCGTTTTGTTTTTCCCGGCTGGTTGGTAACGCAGAGAGGTAGAGGCAAAGGGAAGCGTCATAACAGCGTTACAACAGAAACAAAGGATGAAATTATAGATTAGCCAGGACAGTAAGGCGAAATGGCGATATACGCTGAGCTAAGTTGACCTACATCATAGCTCGAGGTGATCAACGCTTGGTTGTGTGCGGCCAAAGCGAGGAATGCTCAAGGATCCAGCTATGTTGGTAATTGGAAGGGAAGTCACATAGTGCAGTAAATCGGCTAGAAACAACAACAACAACAACAACAAAACAATAACGTGTACTTTAATATGAGAGCTGGAGAATCTCGTAAACGGCAATTCCGGTCATTCGCTCATGAACTTACACTAATAAAATGGAACGGAGCACTGATGTGCATGACCGTACTCAAAATGGATAAACATAACATACCGGTTGCAGCTGAGACGATATTTCGGAGCCGATGAATCATCGAGAACAAGGATGCCATTGAAACATTCTGGACAGGCATCGACGCCACGAGCTTCCATGGAGTGGGGACAGGAGGGATGGGGACATCGACTACAATCAGAAGCTTTTGGCATTCGCTCGAACGGAGGATGGGAGTAACAGTACGGACAGAAAATGGCATTCTGCGAAACGTGATAAAAGATTGAAAAGCAGAGTGGTTAAAAAGAGCTGGTGCAGATGTTAGGTACGTTTACAACTTTTTCGAAATTTGGCAACGTCTAATTTACACACCACGTGAACCGCAGTAGAGGTCGAAAAAGAAATTGACTTCTAACCATGAGCACGTGGCATTTAAAGGCAATTGGGGAAGCACTCTATCTCACACCCACTCACAAGGCGGACATATTTATGCGGTACGCAGCCGCACCGGACCCGAATTGGACTCAGAGTAATCATACAAACACACGCAATAAGTCACACTCTTTTATGTAACATTATCATCACGTATGTAAAACTAGTCTCGATTTAAGAGGTCGCAATCATTGGTGACCCCAAGAGAGACATTGTATTATCCAGAGTTTTACCGCATTTTTTTACATAGCACTATGTTTCCTCCATCACACCGATGTGATTTCACATAATTGTCAACACAAAACATTCACTTAGTTTCTGGGAGTCTCCCGCGTTTTTGGCACCATGGCCCACAAATATAACATTCATATTACTCGTCGCAGTACCACACAGGAACAAACCTTGCTTTATTATGTGCCAGCCGTATTACCACAAGAAATTGTTGCTGATCTACGAGATTTTTCCATCGTCACCGAATGATGCTAAACTTTATTTCAGTCTAAAGATGCGATCACTCAACGAACAACACAAACGCTTTGAATAACTGGTTAGCGGCAAGGTACTGGACGGATGTACTCCTCACCAATTCCTCAGACGACTTCAATGTGTATTAGGTGAGCGAAAACTGGATGACGCAGCTATTCCCGAAGCATTTACCCATTCAGATAGAGGCTATTCTAGTCAGCAATGCTGACAAGGTTCTCTTGACACAACTCGCTAGTATCACTGATCAGATGTTATAAATCCAGTTTACATTTAGAGTATAAATAAGTTGGCGGCGCAATACTGCACCGCATCAAACTCGATGCAAGTGCGTCTCTTGGGATGATGGGCTAATCTTATCTTTGATATTAGTGCGTATGACTGAAAACACCGAGAAGTGAGAAGACTCACAGTTTCGATTGACATTTTCAGTATTGATATGTGCCATACCACAGAGAACAAGACATCGGAGCCTGATAAGACCACGGGACCAACTATCTATATTGCCTGAACAGGACAACTGCGCACGTTAGAGAGTAGCCCTGGATACCTCAGCTAAATGGGTGTCAGCGGACAGCCAATAACAAGGAGTAAGCGTGATAACAGCACTTAGATAAAATTTAGAATTGAGTCAGAGATTCGACACTTATGCCAGTTATCCCGGATTGGATACAAGGTGATGTGGAGAATGCCAACGCATTGTGACATTCTGCGAGTTACCTCATAGTGCAGTTGCTAGCTGAGCAACAGTAGGGATTACGGAGGAAACAAAGACACATAATTCAGTTGAACTGATCAAAACTGTTACGCGTGCCAATGTGGCATTGTCAAGACGTCGCGCCCAAACAGATTACACAGAAGCGGGTTACCGGTTGCGTTACTGCTCTTCGTCAAGGTCAACTGCGAAAGAAATAGTTCGAAGGCGACTGCGTTGTGTGCTAAAATTGCACAGAGAAGCGAAGACATTGATTTGAATAACAGTGCAAGAGTAGAATGCTTCAAGAGGCGCGCTGGTGTCGTGGATGTGGAGGATTAACGCACATCGTGATTGTAGAAACCAACATGAAGTTGACTCCAGAGTAAAATCAGGTAGGTGGATGGGAACAAGTACTGATCGGCAAAGGTGACCAACTTAAGTGTTCTAATGGTTTATGTAAAGACCCAAATAAAGGCTGTCAAAGGAGCCATCAAACAGAAGCCATTCAAGCCTAGTTCCATGCCGGTACCCTGAGCAAAAGCGAGGACCGAGCCAGCTCCAAGCTCTATGGTCAGCAACCAATCAATGACAGCGCTTCGGAATCGGTTAGTGACAACATTTTTGACTTGGAACCAGTTAATAAGAGCATTTGCCCTGCATAAGGTATTTTCTGAGAGATCAGAATCGTCCTTTAAGTCATTTCGTAGATACATTTTACTGTTTCAAAGCCGTATTTTCCAGGGCGCCATTGATGGTTTTGGCGGGAAATCCGTCCTCTGATTTGGGAATTGACTGGAACGGGGTTTGAAGTACTTTATCGGTTAATGTTATGTCAGCAGAAAAAAGCAAAAACAAAGGCGGAGAGGATAATGAGAAGCACGTCACAAGTGTGTCATAGAACAACTAGGACTAAAACGCCGTTTGGAAGTCAGTTTCAAGTCACGCCAAAATAAGCTTCATAAACTACAGTGGGTCTATTTTCAGCATTTACACTACAAGTGCGGATGCATAAGGAAATACTATCAATATAACACATAAGCGCAGAGATAAATGAGACATATACACAACTGTCTCTTTAACAACCGCTCGCGCAGCATGTTTACGAGTTTCAAAGGGTCCCCATAGCAAACATAACAGATAAGCTAAGACAGCATTACGATACAACGAAATGGGAGTAAGCAGAAAAGTGAATTTTGAACGATTAGAAGAGGAAGAGAGCATTTTCGAAACGTCACCATGCAGTTGATAGTATCTGTCATTCAGGATCGTGGAAAAAATTGTTGTGGATATCAAGACCTAAAGAAATGATCAAATCAACTAGAGAATCTCTAGACAAATCGCTGCATCCAGAAATGTGTTTTATCGATCACACCAATAAGGTGCAGCGTTTCTAAAGTAGTCTGGGAAAGATGACGGAAGAGCAACATAACCATTGGAAGGTAATATATGAAGTAACAAACTCAAACATTAAGGTATAGGATACTGAAAGCTCTTAATTTTGAGGGACGAAAAGAGATGTTTCCGACCCTATGAAAAGTTTGAAAAATGTGTGTGGACGAAGATATAAAGATGTAACACTGTAAAAATTACTATACAATTGGCAAGTGCAGCAACAGATAAGGGAAATAACAGTGGCTTGAGAGGAAAAATGACAGCCAGAGAAGAAGTGTCACAGCAAACGCGCCACTAGGTACGGTCCTTGGCCTTATCTAGTAGCGTTTGCAGCCAGATGTGTTCGTGATCCTTGGAGTCGGAAGTGCCTGACAACAGTCAACTCCCATGTTTGCATCTTAACGCATTGGATTCAGGTTTTGCATTAGCCTCCTTGTTGTCGCTTTCAGCCCGCGTTTGCGCTCGCAGTGGACACGTCGTGGTAACCGCTGGGTAGGCATGCGAAGCAAGTGTGGAAGCCAGCGAAGCCTATGCAGCGAAATAATGGTGGCAAGCAGTAGGCGGCGTATGCCAGATTTGAAAGCTCGCCGACAAATCTCCTAATTAATGATGTGATGCTGCTATCGAGCACCAGTAATGCTCGGAAGGCAGCGGTGATTGAGGACAGCCGCTGAACATCGCAAGTGCGAACATGCCAGATCTCACAGCCATAAAATAGAACCGCTCGCACCGCAACACTGCACACTTGACACTTCAGAGCGAGACTGTGATCACGACGACGCAACAGACGACGGAAGTTAGCAAAAGCTACTCTAGCCTTGGAGATGCACAAGATCTTATCCGTCAAACCGGCAATATTAAGACAACTTAAGTCAAGCTTCATGCACCCGAGTGGGTGAATTTCCAGCATTTTACACATCTATCACAAATGTGGTAAAACAATATCAGTAAATATGAGAATTTCACAAGTGAAAAAACAGGGGGGAAAAGAGTGTATAGAAGTCACTTGGGTAAACAGGCTCGTATTTTTGAGCAACAAAAGCATATTGATGGAAAGAATTATAAGATTCTTTATTCGGTCGACGAGGCGAACTTTTGTTAAAACGTTTCTTGACAGCTCATTTCATGTGGAGGAAAGTAACAAACGGGGAAATCTGCGTGGTGTCTTTGCTAACTCTTGAAACAACCGGTGGAGTTGTGTGGCCTCAGTGACCTTGAAGTTGTTCAGGCAAAGCATTCAGCAAAATATTCAAACAACATTGATACGTTCGCAGTAGATAGTGCGAAAAATGGTGTTGCGGAGAAAGCCGTTGCGGCTAATTCAAATGAATCTATAGACCACTTACAGCGGACACCCCGAAAGGATGAGAGAAGGAGACGCACTTGGCCAGTCTTTTAACAGGACCTTACAAATGGAAGGAGTAAGGATGAACCCAAATCGTGAGGCGGACAGCTCCAGTCAAAGCAACACATGCTGGGTGGCCTGAGATGATCAAAAATAATAGCGATGTCATCTGCGTACTCAAAGTCCCGAAGTCAGTCACTCGGGAGCGGTTCGACGCCGCAGGATTAAGCTTTCCAGGGAAGTTTTCACAGTCTCGTCCATGGAGAAGTCGAACAAGGGAGAGGATGGGCAACCCTGTCTAACATTACGAGTGATACTAAACGGGGGGAGGGACAAAAGGCGCCGTATACCCGAACGTGGCCAGAGGTTTGGTGACAAATGGCACGGAGAATGCTGATGTACTTCTTAGGCATTCCTTTCCGAAACGAAAAATGGATATTGTTGTTGGCGGGTGGTCGAATTTCAGTCGTTGCCTTGACGCCACCTTCCAGTTTACCTTTCAGGACATCCTAATTGTTCAATTATACATGAAGGACAGAAACCGGGAAAGGACATTTAACGGTAACGTTTTTTCGTTCTTTTTATCGTTACCCCGATTCCCTTTTATAGAGCCTACGTGTTGGAAAATAGGTCTGTCTCGGTTTCTCGAGTTCCTCCTGCCTCTTCCGTAAACAGTTTCAAAGAGTCACTATCAACAGAGTCAAATGCGACTCGAAAGTACAAGAATACAACTACGGTTGTTCGACTGAACGTATGGCGGTGCCCAAGTATCTGGCGGATCGTAACGATGTGATAAATGCAACTGCGATCCGGGCGTGGTTTTGAGACAAACTGATCCCAACATACTTGGCGGTGGATGGTCTGGGTATAGGATTTTCATTCACGGTCAGAATGGGAGAAACATCTATAAGAGG